GAACATCAACGCTGCCGTGATATGTGTTGCTTGGCTTGCTTGGCTTCTCTTTGCACCTTGAAGCGTGATGAAGTGTGTTACGGCGTTGTGCAGCCTCGGCGTCAGATGACCTTCACTTCGGTGTTTCAACACAGTTCGCAGTTGCATGAACTGTTTGCCACACCACTCCCGAGCCTTGCGTTTCAGAGGCAACAACCACCTGGTTGTGCCTTATCCTTTGGAGTATTTGGCACTGGGGCATTTTCGGAATGGGTGGGAAGACCTTTCTGATCCCTCTCTTTGTTGGAGCCTCAGCATGTGCCGGACAGAGCTTAATTATTCACGGTGTCGGAGAGTTCCCCACAAGCGAGGTGAATATTTTTTTGTGTGCAGACTAAGATTTGAAAACCACAGGTACAAACGGACATAAATTATTTTAACCAGACTATTCTTACATTCTTACATGCATGTAACTTAAACTATTTGCATGCATTTCTTTGTATTGCATAGCGCACACACACACACTGTGGGATCTGCATACGCAAACATTGACTACAAACCATCAGTGTCCAGGTCTGGATTCCCACGGCCGTCTTCTTCATGACCATCTTCTTCGGGCATCTGCTGTTCGGCGCGCCGGAAGATTGGTGGCTCGACAAGCTGTGCATCCATCAAAGCAGGGAGAAGTTGAAGGAACAAGGCGGGGTGGCGGATGGCCACTGCGCACGATGAAATCATGGGTTGATGATGGTTGATGGGTCTGATGGGTTGAATCCCCAGTTGGGAGAAAATGGCTGGTCTGGATGGGATCATTTTTGGATTCGGGATAAGAAAAGCTGGGAAGCCTGGAAGCCTCCCCCAAAGTTGCCTTTCAGAGAGTTTCCCGACTGGCATTTGGGATCAATTGGGACAATTGTTGGAAATTTGGAATGACGACGACGACGACGACGACGATGTTTTTTTGAAATATCCCACCGTTGAATTGGGAGAAATCGGGATGACCAATGGGGCGTACTTTGGGATGATTTGGGGATAGATTAGGAATGGGATGGATTGGGATCAATCGTAGATAAACTGGAATCATTCAAAACCTCTTCCGCCACATGCTGGGGGATGACCATTTGTTCAACAGCTATTTCAATGTCAGCCCGGGGCGATATGTTGGGATGCCCACTAACCTTGAAGGGCTGAAACATCCCCTGAAAATGTGTGGCTGCTATTTCAGCCCGCCAGGGGTGAATGCACTTCCAGCACCTCTGCTACAAGGAAGAACTTTGTGATGCGAGTTTCAGGATGAGGTTGAGCACCCTCCAGTCATCAAAGTTGCCAATGAAAAATCTTGGAAACCCGGAAACCCACCACTTCCCAGCGGGCTTGCTTACCTGAGAGTTGCAGCTAGCCTTGGTTGGTCTCCAAGGAAATTGTGGCGACAGCAGACAAGATGATCATTCTATGGGACAAGCAGTACTTTGAAAGGCGAGCGCTGGCCACATAAATTGCTTCAAATGAAGCTCTTGGAATTTTCCACTGCCATGTGAAATCACGAGGGGACTTTCTTTCCTCAAAAGTTGGAAGCCTGTGGCTTGAAAGTTTTGGACGTTTTCTCCGTGCAATACCAGTACCCTGGACAATCAAAAGCCCTATTCAAAGGGGTGCTATTCAGCTTTGCAAAGGTCAGAGGCAATTTGGCTACGAACAAGCAACAAAATGCATTGAGGTAGCCCAAAATGGAAAATATTGGTAATATTTTAATTTTTAAAAAATAAATAAAACACGCAAAACAATATGAAAAAAACATGAACAACTATTTTTTCATTTTTTTGGGGGGGGCGATTTTTTGCTTCCAATACTACTTTTAGAAGGGGGCAGAGAGCCCTTCTGCTCAACGACCTCGTCCCACACCTTACAACGCAGAAAAAAACACATAGAAAAAAAAACATAGAACACATATTTTTTCTTTTTTTTGGCCCAATTCCATCAATTTTAAAATATCATAAAACAAAATAAATTAAGATAATTTAGCAAAAAGACTCTGATTAGCACCCCTTTGAATAGAGCCCCAGAAATGTTTCACAAGTAAATTAGCAATAGATGGGCCGTTTTTCCATAGCAAACCCTTCAATTCCCAGTGGGCACGCACAGGCTTTGGTGTTGTGCCGAAGTGGCCATCTTCTGCAGCACCAAGCGTGGTGCATCTTGCGTTGAATTTGCAACCTGGTCAGAGGGTCCAAGCAGGACACCTCAATGGATTGGTGGGAACATTCTGGGACATCCATGATTTTGGGTAGATGATAGATGATGTAAACGTTCCCCTCAACCAATCCATTGGCTTTCCCGTGTCGCATTGATTGCACCACGTGTTTCATTCAAGCTGGCAGCCGAAGCAAACACTTGACACAGTAGAACCTGGAGTAGATCAACGCTGATGACCATCTGATACTCAATGCGCTTCGGGGCGTTTTCACCAAGTTGCTGTGCTGGAGGTTGCTCAGCCCATTTTGCATATTTTTGCATAGCAGTT